AAGTACTTAGTGCAATCTTAGGCAGGATGGGCAGGTACATACGATTTCCACATACTCGGGACGCACTGAATGAAACAAACGGCTGCGTTCCCCCCTGACTCTCCATGGTGGAAACCATTAAAACACACAAAACCCTCATTTAAATACCGCCACCTACGTTGTGTTTGCTCCTGTTGCCATCTACGCATTAATTCTTAGTAAATCACTCATAACAGTTACTAAAATTGCATGTGTAATATTTTACAATGCACATGCAATTTAGTACTCTTTATTCGGGATGTTAATAAATTGGGCCCATAGTATTAATACCAGGTGTAAACGTAATTAAGTTGAAATAATATGTAGATAGAATCTGGATACGAGATGCATTTTAATGCCAGGTGTAAATGACTTCAGAGTGTCAGCTGAGCATACTTGGCCCACGCTGTAAAGTACAGGCAAAACACATCCCAGTCTGCCTGCTTCTTAAGGTTGAGGAACAATAAGATATTACAATTAGCGAAAAAGTTAAATGTCACTGAACAAACCGTCTCCGGTTAAGTATGTAACCCTTGTTCCCCGAGAAGGGGAACGAGACACTGCGTCGGTGACAACACTATGGGAACGCCTCTGGGCGTGGCAGGGCTGAAATCATGAATGAAACTACTCCAATCCAAGCGTAACTGGAGGCGTAGATAAGTAACTGGAGCTAATGTGTCCGGCACACCGGACACATTAGCTCTTTGCTATGAAGCAAGGCACTCCAGGCGGGGTGAGGTGTGGCGGACCGATGCAGTGTCTCATTCCCCTTCTCGGGGAACAAGGGTTACATATGTAACCCGAGACGTTCCCCTTGGAGGGAACTCGAACTGCGTCGGTGACGACACTATGGGAACGAGAATACCCACTATGCCACATCGAAGCCTCCGCCTGCCCGCCCAGCATGTAGTAACCTTAGGCACGACTAAGAGGAGAGTGCACGGGTGCCGGGTGCAGAAGGAAGGTCCAGACTGTAAAACCGGATGAAAGTGTGAGGAGTGGCCCAGCCAGCTGCCTCACACAAATCCTGGAGTGAAGCCCCTACGAGGAGGGCCCTAGAGGCCGCCATGCCTCGAGTAGAGTGCGCCCTTACTGCCATAGGTGAAGGTAACAGGAAATAGTCTGAACAATCCAGTTGCTCATCATGTGTTTAGAAGCGGGGAGCCCAGCCTTGGGGTACCCGAAACATACCAGCAACTGGTCTGCTTTCCTCCACCGGGAGGAACTCAGAGTGTAAATACTCAGTGCTCTGACCGGGCAGAGCAGATGAAGTCTCCCGTCCTCCGCCGTCACATGAGGTGGGGGATGAAACGCCTGCAGCACCATAGACCCAACCTGGACGGAACCTTAGGGACATAGCCCGGACAGGGGTGCAGGATGGCTCTGACCCTCCCCGGGGCAAACTCCAGGCATTGAAGAGAAACCGAAAATGCCCCCACCCTCCTCCGAGAAGTGATAGCGAGGAGGAGGGTGGAGCGATATTATGTCCGAGAACCACACTCAGGCCGGCCAAAACGGGGCTACTAGCAGCAGGCTGACACCGTCCTGACGGACCCGCTCCAGAACCCCCCGCAGCAGGTCTGCTCCCTGATTCTGGGTCCCAGGGATATACGTCGCTCTGAGAGACAGCAGTCTCTGCTGGGACCACAGGAGGATCTGATGTGCCCGCATCGTCGTCGAGTCCCACACCAAACCTAGGAACGTAGTCCGTTGGGCGGTCGTCAGCACGCTCTTCTTCATGTTGAGCCATAGCCCCAAACGCTGAAGGAAGGTCTCGATGCCGAACCGCTAACTCCCAAGACTGAGCCAAAATGACCCAGTCATCGATGTAGTTCAGTATGCGGATGCCTTGGAGCCTCATCGAGGCCAGAGCTGCATCCATGCACTTGGTGAACGTGCAAGGGGAGAATGCTAGGCCGAATGGAAGTATACTGGTACGCCGCGCCCCTGAAGGCGAACCTCAGGAACTTCCTGTGAGAGGGGTCTCAGGACCGCATTCTGCCTCTGGCGGTAGGAGCTGGACGATGGCTGGGACCGTCTCTCAGCCGTCACCGTCTCTCAGCCGTCACCATCCTGGACCCAGACCGGCGTGGGAGATACTGCTGGAACGCCTCCCCTTGCGTCCTGGCATGCTGAAACCTGTTGACAACGGCGTCCACCGCCTCGCTAAACAGGCCAGAGGTCGCGACCGGTGCGTCGAGCAGGAAGGTCTTCTCCCTCTCCTGGATGCCCGACAGGTTGAGCCACAGGTGCCGCTCCGTGGCCACCAGCGCCAACATGGAGCGGCCTATGGCACGGGCCGTCTCCTTCGTGGCTCAGCGATGTCCTCCTGAGAGGGGCCACCCCCGGCTCTTTAAGGGACCCGAAACCCTTAACCCCGCGACGTCGCTGTAAACCCGGAGCGGGGGGAGTAGTCAGACGTGCTGAAAAGGGCTTGCCCCAAGGATTTGCACAACTCGTCGTGGCGGCGACGATCTGATGTGCTCGCATCTTCCTGCGGGGGCTGGGGCGGCGCCGCAGGAAGTGCTCATCCAGCTTACTGGCAGCCTGTGTGTCTGGCTCAGCCTGCGGCCAATTTAGCTGGAGCTTGCCCACTGCCCGTGTCACCACCTCCAAGAGCTCGTCATAGCTGGGCGCTGACTGATGACGTTGATCCTGCTCCCGGAAGTCTTCCTCCTCCATAATGCTGAGCACATCCAGCTCCTCAGAACCAGTCCCGATGTACCCTCAGGGGCAGGGCCTCGCAATGGGCGTAAGCAGCCCCAGACAGGAAACACACAGGGCATGAATGTCCCCAGCCGTGATGTAGCGCGGGCATGGAAAAACACACTGCCTGAACTGCTCACCAGCCATCTCCTCTGCTTCTCCTTCCAGGTAAGAAAACTTCCTCTCGTGTCTATGAAGATTCTCAGTCATCCAGGTCATAGTTATCCAACAAAGGTTAAAATCAAGGGCAACTGGACTTGATTGAAGATACTGGAAGACATTTCATCCCTCATCCAAAGGACTTCTTCAGTTCTGACTGACTGGCAGGGAAACTCAGCTATTTAACCTCAGTGGGGTCGTTGGCCAGGGTCATCGATACCGCTGGTTCGTTAGTGTTCCTGGTTGCTGTGACGACAGTCGTTACAGTCGTTAAGACTACCTGTGGCCAAGACTGAACGACCATCGTTGGTATCTTCACCTGAGGCCAATAGGTTACGTTTGTTGACAGCATTGTAAGTGGGGGATAAGTGGTGGCGTAGATCCCCTCCCCTGTTCAATGACGGCTTCTCAACTCTGGTGTAGATGGCTTCCTTGACACCTCTTTCAAACCATCCATCTTCTCTGTCTAAAATGTGCACCTGGTGGTCCTCAAACGAGTGTCCTCTGTCCTTCAGATGTAAGTAGACTGCAGAGTCTTGACCTGAGGAGTTGGCCCTTCTGTGTTGAGCCATGCGTTTGTGTAGTGGTTGTTTAGTCTCCCCAATATACAGGTCTGTGCATTCCTCACTGCATTGGACCGCCTCTCGTGGTTTCTTTTTTTCTGAGTAGTCTCGGACATGCCAGAGTGCCTGCTGAATAGAAAAAAGCTAATGTGTCCGGTGTGCCGGCGTGCTTATATACGCCTCCAGTTACGCTGTCACACGCTACCGTTCTAGCAACGTCAATAGGATTGGAGTAGTTTCATTCATGATTTCAGCCCTGCCACGCCCAGAGGCGTTCCCATAGTGTCGTCACCGACGCAGTTCGAGTTCCCTCGAAGGGGAACAAACGTTACACCCATGGTTCCTCATCATTGTGTGTGAACTAGCATACAAGATTGTTTTCTGAAGCCTAGATGGATTCTGGCATCCACTGACATTTCCTTTATCCAGTCATATCTCTAAACACAGTCTCAGAGGAGTCAATTTAGTTTTCAAGATGGATGATTCTTACACTTTACGGTATCACTTAGCCCCAAAGACTAGTAGAGAATTGTGAAACTACAGATGGACAAAATATCCATAAATTACTCTTAAAAGTCTTTGAAGGAGTACTCAGAGCCAAGCTAGCTAGTGTCATAGGTAAAACCTTAGCTAAACTTAAGCATGCTTGAGAAAAGAAGATACTAGACTAGAAGAACACTTCACTTCATACTGATGTGAAGTACAGAAACTCTACAAGAATAGAGGGACTAACCTCTGAATAATCCACCAGTCCAAACATGATATTTACTGTAGTTTTCCTCATGGGTTGCTCCTTGTCACTTGTTCCATTTTGAAATGGATATATTGTGAGAACAAATTGTGACTTTGCCTTTCTTGTGTTTCACTTTTTTGTTTTTTTAATCTGACCCCATTACATCGTAGGACAGTTCTTGGCAGTTAACCACAAACAGAAGGGATTACAGTTGTTTTTGCAGATATTTACTGTACTTATGGGCTTGACTTGAACATAGCTAATTAAAGAGATTTTTCATTGTTTGGCCAGAAACAGTCAAGGTTAAAGTTTTCTTCATGTGTATAAACCCTGTGCTCTCACTATGCTAGGACTGAATCCAATTAAGACTACCCTGTTCTCTTGTTACTTTATTTCCTTTTTCCTGAACAAAGAACAGAAATATTTTAAATAGTGAGTGCACCAAACCATGATATGACCCACAAAAAGAAATGCTCATACCAAATTTGTAATGTGTATCTATTGTGTCAGGCACTCTTTGGTACCTGATTTTGCCCTTTACTATATTTGAATATTAATGCCACCCTTTTGGAAGCCGATGGTGCCCAAAATATAGCAGACCTCCAGACTCTGCAGCTAAGCATACGTTAATTAAAGTACCAGTTAGTGTATGTAATATTCTACTTTTATTTCTCCTCAACACTCCCTCTTTATTGTCTGCTTCCTCCAGTGAGAAGGGCTGGCCAGTGATGGCAGCCCAGGGTTGTTTCTGTGGTAATGAGCTGTCAAGGATATAAAGAATGCTGTTCTTTTTTCTTTGCATATCTCTTCCTTCCAAATAGGGACTGTAGACGCAAGAGCAAGTCTGGCAGCAGCATCTGTGGAGAGCACGCCCTGGGGATTCTAGTGTCACAGATGCAGTTAAGAGCCATGTGAATGGAGTGGCTCTCCCTGACTGCAGGCTGTGGGTCTGCCATGATTAGACCTTTAGGTGTTGTCTGTTGAACGAAAGCTGGGTTCTGAGGTGCTCAGAAGGACCGGGTAAAGAACTGATTTAATTTGCCAGCCTCTAATGACAAAAATTAATTCTCCAATCAGTCTGTGCTGTTTTTGGTTTGCTGATATGTTTCCCTCTGATTGTGTCAGTATTAATTGTGTCTTTCATTTTGCATTTCAGCTTGCCCCAAAGCAGCACACTTGTTCACCAGTAATATGTGCAGCTATTAAGTCTAGCTGAAGATGAAATTGAATTATTTTAGTCATTCCTCTCTCTGTCACTGTACCAGTGTCACACACATGCACACTGCTTTCTGTGATTTCATCATACTATTTCTAAGCTACATAGCTGATGTGAAAATCTAACTGAAATGGCAATTATTTAATTATTTTTATTCATTGTTTTATGTTTGTAAAAACATTGGAGACATGATGTAACACTAATGTTAAATGCAGACTCATGGTTTGCTTTAATTACTAATAAACTACTCTGATTCTAGCATGCATAAGATTCTTGAAACTGAGATAAAACTCACCTGTATAAGAACTATTTTCCTTTGTCCCATCATCCCACTTGTAAAGAAAGCACATGCATGCACAACTGGTTCCAGATAACCAGATTAAAATGATTGAGGTTCTTGAGCTGAATAAACTGTTTGAGGAGGTGAGTCATTGCAATAGAAAGCTTCACTAGCGTGAATTATGACTGTAAGGTGTCTGTTCAGTGAACAGTAATGGCAATACATTTTCACTATTAATATTGAAAGAATAAACTCTTCATAAACAGTGTACTATATATGAATTTAACACCTCCCAACATTTTTTTGTATTATTTATTATTTGTATTTTTTTATCATCTTCATTTCTTGGTACAAAACGATTTTGAGCAGATGCCTGTTGATCAGTGATAAGGAATTCTCTAAATACGGATTGCTACTCTTTCCTAATTATCTAGTTAAGAGTTCAGAGAATGTCAACCTCAGTACAGTGTCAAGCAATGAGAATATGACGAGAAACCCATTAATTTGACTGAATTTTTCACCATATATATTGGTGAGAAAGAAAAAAAGATATTTATATTCAGTCCACATTTCAGTCAGGACTCAATACAAAACAAACTGGGCTGGTAAACAAGATTTAGTGCAGGATGTGGCAGCTTCAGTGTTGGCATTTTCTGGAGCTGTGCAACAGGTGAGTTTTTCTAAATTAATTGAGTATGAGCAGTGATATTATAATTGTTGCCTTTGCATTTTTTTTACTGTCATAGCTGTAGCTTTAGGCAGATTGTGTACTTTATAACAGCTTGTTGGCATCATTAAATTGTTCTCCCCGTCACATACAAACATACACAGACACAGAGTGACATACTTATCTTATTTTGACAGTCATGGGTTTTGTTGTACTGAATTTGGTGTTCATACATTTTTCTAATTTGTCACGGTTTACTGATACTTGGTGAGTTTTAAGCACAAACACACTTTCCATGTGGTTACATTTTGAGTTGTCAGGGTGAGGCTGCTCGTAGGATGTGTGGTTCTGGTTGTAAGCTTTTGCTCAAACATAGTTTATAATTCTAAACGTACTCTGTTACTGTTATCACTGAACAATGAGGTTATCCTCTTGTTATAACAACCTTTGCCATGTGCAATTCATGTATAGGCTGCATGATATCATTAGCACCAAATAAATGTCCCTACTGTCCTGACATCATGGCAGCTTTAGAATTTTATAGTGTTTTTAACTTCTAAATGTAATAACATCTTCACATTATCCTGCAGTAGTATGGAGCTCCAAATTAAATAACACTATATCGAATAATGCAAACAAATGGAAAAAAATATGAAAACATATTCATAATCTGGGACTCTTGACACTGTGATGATCAGTACTGGCAGAAGGTGCTCCTGCTGCTCATCTTACAATGTCAGGCTGTAGTGGAAATGAAATTAATTTTCCACCCGGGATTGCCGTATCACTAGTCAGACAAGAATGATGTATTGCACTTGATATTCATTTTCCATCATCTTTGGCAAACTTTGCACTTTTTGGCAGGCTAATAGAGGTATTTTAAAAGTAGGGACATCATCCATTTCAAATTCAAGATAACCACTTGTGTTACATATTGACTGCCTGTATGACTGCAGGAATGAGTTTCCTTTCAGAAGAACCCAGCTTTTACTATTTACAAGCCAGTGAATGATGGCTATCTGCTGAAAAATGTTTGTAACAAGGCATAATAATAATAATAATAATAATAAGTAGTAAAGTAGAAGAAAACTGTGACTTTCATTTAAAAGGAGGTCATTCAAGCATACAAAATCAGTAATTGTGGCAGTTCATCAAGTCTGACTAATAATCCTGAGCTTCTGATGCAGCCTTGTAAGGATTCTAGTGTTTCCCCTAGGATGGAGTTGTAGCAGCGGCGGTGAAGCAAAATTTTTGTCTGAATATGAAACCCCAACACAACATGTGTCAGCAGCATTGCTCTTGTGTCCATGAGCATGTGATGCACCTTAGAATAGCTTAAATCTGCAGTGTTTTCCCATAGTGTTATGTGAGCTTTAGATAAATGTTTTGGTGGTGGTTGTGGTAGTCATGGTGACAAATGTAATTTAATCCATCCATCCATTGTCAACCGCTTATCCTGCGTACAGGGTCGCGGGGGGGGGCTGGAGCCAATCCCAGCTAACATCGGGCGCATGGCGGGGTACACCCTGGACAGGTCGCCAGCCCATCGCAGGGCCACACACAGACGAACAACCACTCACACCTAAAGACAATTTAGGGTAACCAATCAACCTAGCCTGCATGTTTTTGGACGGTGGGAGGAAGCCGGAGCACCTGGAGAGAACCCACGCAGACACAGGGAGAACATGCAAACTCCACACAGAAGGACCGGGGCAACCCACAACCTTCTTGCTGTGAGGCGACAGTGCTAACCACCACACCACCGTGCCACCTGTAATTTCACATCATCTTGGGCGATTATTTTCACCATATCTTTGAACAAATAGTTGGAAAAGCTGAGCTAGAGCAGATAATAAATAACCAACACACAAAGATCAGCCTACTGGGGAGGAACTACACCCTTTAGATTTGGGGAAAGTAATTTGGTTGGTTATGATGCTCTCCTCAGTGTTTTTACATTTATGTTTTGGGCGTCACCCCCTAAAACCCTGTTAATATGGCATCAGAATCATTATAGAGTGTTCATGAATTTTGTGGCTTCATTTTACAGCTCTTGACATTTATCTGTTTAGATATTAATATAAAAAAATAGGCAACATCAGAAACCTCCTCCCTTCTGAGGTGCATGTCTAAGTTTGTACCTGATGTTCTCAACATTGGACAAGTAGGTAGTAATAAAATACAGCTACCAGTTAGGCCTACTTTCTATAAATTGAGCTAATGTTATATAGAGACATAAAATGTAGCCTACTGTAATGTTATAAGCTTTCCTGCTAAGCTGCGCAGTCTGAAGGGGAGAGGAGATGTTAGCTAGCACAAACTGGCTTCACTTTTCCAGCAGGTCGGAAACAACAGACGTTTCTTGCTCTTGAGAAGCTGACACGCTGTAACCGACACAGTACATTTACTGCCAGAATATTTTCTTCCGCTCGCGTTCACCGTCACTTTCTGCCGCTTGGACAATCAAACATTTGCTACGCACCTCCCGATTCATTACAGGAGTTACGCTGCTCTTAAAACACCATCTGTCATGTAGATGGTCAGTATAGAACGAGGAGAGGAAGCGAGCCAAGCATTGAGTGTTGCTGTGCTCGCACAGTTTGCGAGTGAAAACATTTGTAGCGCATAGTTAATGATCGTGGGAAATTTTAGTAGCGGCTGTCATGATTCAGCACCGGCACACCGCCACTCCTGAATGCATATACGGGAAACACTGGATTCTTCAACGCTTTTGTGGCGCGGCAGCGCTTCAGCTGATTTTACTCACAGAGCCTCCAGATGTAGTCGGTGTAATCAGCTGGATGTGCAGGCTTTCTTTTTCTTTGCTTAGCTCTTTATCTTCTTTATTGTAGTTTAGTGACTTGTTTAAGCTGACTCCTTACTTGTTTTTTCTGCGACTTTTTTCTGCGACTCACCGCTAAAGGCAAAAGCACTCACAGAGATTTTTCAATTCAGTTCTACAAGATTTATTTTCTCTGTGGTTGACTTTAAACAAACACACATATATCCCTTTTTGACAACTCACAGTGGTCACTAAAGTATTCTATTCTTCTTCTCTTATTCAAATACAGAACACCTCCCAAGCTAGCGTTGTTCCTCTGATGTTACTACACGTGGGGATGACCTAATTATGATTGGCAATCTGATACAATTTTACAGGTATTTTGAATCAACTACTATGGCTTCAACAGGAGGCATTTAATGGAGGGTATCGAATAAAGGACTCTATTGGTATCACTTAAAGGGAACTGGTTTTGGTTCTGGTATCAAAAGAAGAAAAACAGGCTTCTGTATAACAAAGCTAGCTAACACTACCTGAGCTAGTGTTGCAGTAAAGTTCCACAAAAAGCAGCATGAAAAAAACTGCTACTGGCATCAAACCTACAACTCTTGTTATTTAGTTGTCTTCAAAAAAGGCTTAATGTTCGCATTGTTGCTCCCCCTCATTAGTCCAACATTGCTCCAACATGTGGGTGTAGCCATGTTAACCATGCAAAATGCTAACACCAAGTTAGAATAGAATAGAATAGAAAAACTTTATTAGTCCTCAATGGGGAAACTGTATGTACAAACAAGACAAAAAAAACAAAAGAAAACAAACAAAAAAAAGAATAAAAAAGAACACTGGCTATAGTTCCTAGCTCTTTAGTTTTCCCAACATTTAGTTGTAAAAAGTTTGACTCACACCAATTCACAAAGGAGGCAATTTAATTTTTGTAGGCCTGGTCATCACCACGATTAAGAAGACCAACAAGGGCGGTGTCATCCGAAAATTTTACCCGATGGAGGAATGTACACAACAAGTACAATTACATTAGAAAACTCCCTGAGCAGGTAATATGGTCGGCAGCTCGCTGCAAGCAGCTCAATGTTTGGGTCGCACACTCTCTCTTTCACCGTGACATGGGTAGGAAGACACCACCTTTCATTCACATAAGCGCAGACGCCTCCTCCCAGTTTCTTCCCGCACAACACTGGATCTCTGTCCATCCTGTGCAGTGAAAACCCTTCGATTTTGACATGGGACTCGTGACCTTGTCTGACAGCCAAGTCTCCGTGAAACACAACAGGCTGCATTGCCGGTAAAGGCGGTCGTGCCTCAGGTACCCTTCCAATTCCTCTGCCTTGTTATCCAGGGAGCGAACATTCCCCATAATGACCGAGGGGAGAACATGCTTATACTTCCACCGACTATTTCTCACCTGGACCCCTCCTCTCTTTCTGGTCCTGAGTTTGAGATCAGGCATGATGCCATCAGGATCCGGACCACCTGAGATGGACGGTCTCAGCTAAAGGAGCTATTGTCGGCTG